GGAGATGGATCAGGCTGTCAACACTTTGTTCAGCTTCCTCTTTACATGAACATGTGAGGTCAGTAAATACCAAGCTGGAGCAAAACAGTTTATGGATGTCTATGGGCAGCTGTGGCTCAGGAGGTAGAGCAGGTCGTTTCCTATCCGGAGGATTAGCGGTTCGATTCCCGGCTTGTCCAGTCAACATGTTGAAGTGTCCTTGAGCAAGACACTGAACCCACAGTTACTCCCGGTGATGTCACCGGTGTGTGAGTGCTTGAGAGGGTGAATAGCCGAATAATGTGAAAGCACTTTGAGTGTGCTGTAAAAGCATAGAAAGGCGCTATACAAGTATAAGACCATTTACGATCTATGCAAAAGAGTGGGACAGACTGGTGTGACTTGACTGAACATTTTTACCAGCGTTTGTTTGTACTTTAAGAACACTAACACAGTTGCGTCCTTTTCTAAGTCAGACAGATTCAGATCACAGGGATTAACATTTCACTGAAGAGATGAACGAATGCAGAATGATTTAAATAAACTATTCACTGCACAATAATAAAATAAAAATCTAGTAAGTGTATTTGAATCATAATAAACCCAGTTAGCCATGAACGTTCCCCAGCGACAGCCCTGCAGAACCAAAGAGGCTCAATCATCACATCTGCTGAAGCTGGAGAGAAACTGGACCCGTTTCATAACGTCTACTTCATTTTCATCAGCTCATTACTGTATAAGCTGCTAATGTGTTTTATATTAGGTTTTTTTTCCAATCTAAATAAAGCTAGCAAACTAAAAATATGACTATATGGATTCAGCCGGTGAAGTTCTTTGTGTCATGGCACCACAGGGGAAAACAGGTGTGTTAGTTTAATCTGTGGTCATTTAGTTTGGAGTATTTTATTTCATCCTTGCAATAAACTGTACAAAAATGTTAAGTATATTTTTAAGTGCTAACTTGCATTAAAGGCTCAGTTCACACAAAATACAAAAGTAAAGAAAGTAAAGAACTAAAGACCCTGGTGACATTTGGATGTGCAGGTGGACAAAAACCAAACCTTTCTCCATGACCAGACTCCAGTAAGTGGTTAAATGGGATGTTTTGTCATTTGAGTCATCTCTAAAAAGCTGTAAACAAAACAGTTTTTACATATCCTACATGTGCTGCTGTTTATTTTTGACGGCTGCCTTGATGCTGCATTCCTGACCTTGTCCGTGCACAGTTTCCGACGGTGCGGCTACCTGCTTAGAGATGACCACGTTTACTGTCAATTACGACACATACATGGTGTGTTCTTCTAGGTTTTGTTGACTGTGCTGTACAGTGCAAACGAATCCTCCCCACCATCTTGATGTCTTGTTCTGTGGAAGGGAAAAACGAGGCGTTCACACAGTCGGTTTCTTACCCAGTGAGTACACAGTGATGTTCATGTGAGAGGAGCCGCTCACCCTGGGCCACTACAGGCACTGACACATCTGACAGTAGTGTATTCAACACCATCCTTCTCCTCCTCTTCCTCTGTCTGTGTATGGGACACAGCTGGCCTGATGTTGGAGTAGAGAGCGTCTTCCTGGGTCTGAGAGAAGCAGACACTGGCGTAGTGGAGGTAGTCCTGCTGTTCTGCTGGTTGTCTCTGCGCTGTGGCTGACGGGGTGTCGTACACTGGAGCCACGTCCGGCTGACGGAGACAAAAGGCACGAAGAAAGATTACAGTGACTACCTGAGAGGTTCTGGGCACAATACTTGATGCACTTTTGTGCCAGACAACTGTGGCTCAGAGGCTTGAGATCAGTGTTTTGGCTGCTGCAATCCCCACTGGTCACCAGCAGAGGGCAGTGATATTCAAACGCTGCTTTATATGACTTGTTTAAAACATCCAAACATGTTTAGATGGATCCTGTGTGCTCAGTTTAACTCTTCAACAATGTGCCACCATCTGAGAGATCAACATTTTAGATTATGTTTAGCTGAACCTGAACAGCTGAGACAAACCAATGCAACAGTCCAGTTCTCTCACCTGTGCTTTGTTGTCAGGTCTCTCACCACGTCTACACTGTTGTGAGAAGGACTTCTTTCTTCTGGACAGGAGGACAAACAATTCAGTGAATTAATTAATACATTCAGGGAACACATGCACTAGTGTTATAGCTCACCTAACCCACAGGAAGACAGCGAGGAGTATGACGGCCAGTAGAACAGCTGTGATTGCTCCGGCAGCTGCTTTCACTGCACCTGGTTAATCAGATGGAAACACCGACCATATTAGGGAAATACAGGGTGTTTAAGTAGTTACAGCTTAATGCTTTGTTCCTAAACCTCCCATAGCTGTGTAGTTGTGTAGAGAATCATTTCAAACTTGAATCATTCAGTGACGCCTTGTGCCCTGTATGAAAACACCTGCATTTGTTGTTTGGCTGCTCATTTCCTGAGGTCACACATCTGCATAAGGTCAGAAGTGCACATTTTATTAACTGTGTTACTGTATGTTTAAGTAGGTTAGAGACAGTTTTACCTTTGTTAAGATCAGGTCAAGTGTCAAGGACGTCTACTGGCTCCAACACTGGTAGAGTGACTGTAACAGTAAACAGGTGCATGTAGCCGACTCACCTGCTGCAACAGTCAGATGT